CTCCATCTTGCTACCTAGTTGGGCCTGTTGACCTCCCTTCAGCAGAGGAGGCTCCACAACCCTGCTATGCTCACCATGGGCATTTTGGGGGCACCACCCTCACCCAGTTCTTGGATCCTGGGCCAGCAGTGGGAAGAAGATGGTGGCAAGGGATAGGCAACAGTAATGGAGTACCAGGGCAGGTATGGAGGGGCAGATAGGTGCGTGGAAGAAGTTAAAGTGTATCCTGTGGTCATAAATGCAGGCCAGTTGCCAAGTGCCCAATTTTTGATCATGTGACTATAGGCATGTTGTGACTGCCATAACTTGGAGGACTGGTCATTGCTACCATTTGTTTCAGTGTTGCCATAACTTCATCTCTTCAAATGGTCACTGAATGAATGGTCATTAAGCAAGAACTACCTGTAGGTTAATTTTTTTACATATTATTCTAATCAAATAGCTATTCTGGTTGCACAGATTTTAACCCAGTGTTTGTTTTAAACTGATATGGAAGCTTCCATGTGTAAAGAGATTTCCCATTGTAGTGCTTGCCCTTTTTTACTGTAATAGAAGTACCAGATGTGCTACATGCCTTTCAGAAAGATTCATATGTTCCTTGATCAAAGCAAATATATTCAGAACCTGATGGGGTTTGGAAAAGAGACATTCTGATTACGTCTGTATGTTAGTACCCAACCACAATGTGATTCCCTACCAGCTGTGTTAGTTCAGAACAGCAAAACTCAAACAAACAAAAAAGACCATTCAAGGTAAAAACAGATTAGGTAATTGTTAATGACTTTATCACGTGGCAGAAGCATGATTTTGTGAAAAGATTTTGGTAGTATAGGTTGGAGACACTCATTGTAAAGGAGGAGGATTTAAATGACTGTAAAATGTAAAGTACAATCGGTTGCAATTTAGATAAAATAAATGACCATTCACAAAACAGCACTCCAAACACTGCTAAATTAATGAAGAGCTATAGTGGTACAAGAAACTTTGATCACTGTTCAAAACTGGATGGAATGAATTAAACTTCTTAATTAAAACATTTGCTTTGAAGTTTTCCTTTTAAATTTCTGTGCAGGAGAATGGTCCACAGGACATTTCTCCAGAAGACTTGAAAGCTGAAAGGGAGAAAAAGAGCGTACATATAGTAAATAAGGTGCAACAAGAAGATACAGGGCATCAGGATGCGATAGAATTGGAATGGCTTAATAGTGGTAGTAGTGATTAGAAATGTAGCTATTACAAGACCATAGGAAGGATGCTGAAGCACAGGTTTTCATGGCAAAAGCAAGCAGAAAAAAGTCTATTTATGTTGTATTTTTATTGCTCCTTATAGATAATTCAGTGTTAATGTGCAAAATGTCTCCAGACCCAACTGTTTGTGCTCTCCAGTCTAACTCACATATCTCTATAATAGAATTAATATCTCAACCTCAAACTGTCAAAGCTTAGCATATCTGGCGACCTAGCTGAGTCCCAAAATGAGGAATTAAATGCAGCAACATTGAAAATCTCCTGATTGCTTCAAAGGGGATAATTCTGCTTGCAACAAGTCATATGCCACACATGTCTATTTAATTCTTTCTAGAGATTACAGGGTTTGTGTAGAAAATCTGTAAATCTGGTATTCTATCCTTTATTTACCTACTCAAATGATCATTCAGCAAAGGAGGGAAGAAAGAAATGCAAAAAAAGAAAGAAACCTATCACTTTAAAAAGTCAGGACATTAGGGCTGCAGAATGTTTTCATGTTATGAATTTTATTATATATACAAATGTAGAAATCATCACTAACTAAATAGATGTCAATATTAAACTGTGATCAAAGAATCTCTCTGCTGAATCTGCTGTCCAGCTGCTAACCCTGAAAAAACAATTTCAGGACTCTCCTTTCTTGTGATCCTTTATTTTAATGCCAATTTAGATCAGTCAGTTGTTTTCAAAGAAGACAAAATTAAATGCAGGACTGTCCACAGTAAAATATGATACATGGGTACTCTAGAGTAGCCAAGTGCAAAGAAAAAAATTCTACCTATGGAGTCTTAAGTGTTCTCTGAGCATGGTTGTTTGCTTGCCATCATTTCATTATCTGATTAGGTAACATTATCAGTGCTGGTGAGTGTGAGTGTGGTTTTCTCCTTGGTATTTCCTGGATTATTGTTTTCTGCTTGACTGTTTGTTAGGTGTTAATCCCTGCTTATTTGGGCTTAACCACATGTACACAGCATTCAAAAGAGATAATAAAAAGCCAAGTAGGAAATAAAGAGACCAAAACACATCCTATCCAACAGCCGACACCCAGGTGAGCATGGATTATGTACACACCATTCAAAAAGAGACAATAAAAAAGTAAAGAAGGAAACAAAAAAGACCATAACACATCCTCTGTATCAGGCAACACCAAGATTAGCAGAAAAACAATATCCTAATCAAGGAACAAATACCAAGGAGAAAACCATACTCCCACAAACACTGGCAGGACAAGCTATTGTATATAAACAGAGAGCAAAATCAACAATCACTTATACGGATGATATTGCAATATTAATTCAGTATGTAAGCAAATATCCAAACTCAGGCAGTACTAAGGACTTTATGGGAAAATATATTTTCTTCTTAGATTTCTATATCTTTAATAATTGTGCAGAAAAGAGAAATTCAGCAGGTAGAACCATGAAAGATTCAAGAGTCCTTGCCTTTTTATATACTAGTTGTGATTGAAACTGAATTATATTTACCTGAATCAATAATGAATGCTTATGTTGAAAATTACTCTAATTAAATTATAATCAAGAGAATGCTGGAAAATAAAATGTTTATAGTACTGTACAATTTTATGCAAATATATCTGTAAGTTAACTCTACCGAATACATTTTTGAATATGATCTGCAGGATTATTTCCTTGCAGGATGTGTATATCATTACAACCTTTTCTTTTTCTTCTATTCAGTTGTATCCTATTCTCAGAGACCTTACCAGGAAGTTTTCTTGGCAAGGTTTACAAAAGGTTTGCCATTGCCTCTTTTCTAGGGCTAGCCAAAAATCATCCAGGTGGCTTTGTGCCTAAATTGGGAGTAGAATTCACCATCACTGGCTCTTTAATTTTATATTTTTCCCTCCTAGCTATCTGGGAAGGAGACAATGAATATAATACACTTTAAACTCTGCTTACTATAATGGGAAAACCAGCTATCAGCAGCTTACCTCTGTTTCTAAGTCTGCTACTGTTAAGCTATGCTGTGCAAACCAGCAGTGACTGAGTGCCTCTGAATATCCCTGCATATTCTGCTTTGCCATGATTGTCCAACAGCTTGCCTTTTTCTATCAGACCCAGAAGGAGAGGGCAAAACAGGTGCTGATCTTTCCTCTTAGCATTTAACATTGAGGATATGAAGAAGAGAGACAGCACAGCATGAAGAGGAATAGAGTATTCTGTGGCATAAACTTTGATAGTGTTGGTTAATGATATGTATGATAGTGTATACTGTATAGCATAGTGATGAGCTCTGGGGCTGATCCTACACACCAGCATTTTCTAGGGGAACTTGTTGTTTCCCTTTAATCTAAGGGAGAATCTGCTGTGGTTCTTTACCTAATTTCAGATCTGCCAGCAAGCCATTTAAATGCTGGGAAGAGTGATCGATCTCTTCTGTTGTAGGTGTATATATAGAGAGAAAGAGAGTGAATGGATGATGCCCTGGACAGGAAGGAAGGTAGCACATCCACAGCAATTGTAATGGGTGGATCTTTCTCCATTTTACTGATGTTATCAAAGGAACTTCCAGAGAACACTTGCTTTCAGGTTAAGGTTCATTTTCATATTAACTTTCATTCCTTTCAGTTAGATGCATCCAGCATTTCAGATAATATCAATATGACCACTCTGTCCATATAGGCAACCAGTATTTGGGGATCTGCACTGTTTTAATAAAATTGGCAGCCAAATGGATCTGCCTTTCCATTCTTCCATTTATTGATTTAAGACTGTGGGCTCTTACAAAGATGGGGGTAAAACTATTTTCCAAAGCACCAGAAGGCAAGACCTGAAACAGTGGTTGGAAACTAACCAAGGAGAGAAGCAACTTAGAACTAGGGAGAAATTTCCTAACAGTGAGCAATCAAACCAATGCAATAGCTTGCCTTCAGAGGTTGTGGGTGCTCCATCACTGGAGGCTTTCAAAAAGAGACTGGACAACCATTTGTCTGAAATGGTGTAGACTAGAGTCTCCTGCTTAAGCAGGGCATTGGACTAGAAGACTATCAAAGTCCCTTCCAACTATTATTCTATGTTCTATAGTCAAAGTCAGTTACATTCCTGTTTTTATTTGATTCTCATTCACATGCTTTTATTTGGTTTCTGACCATTGATAAATAAACACAAGACTAAGGTGGATTAAAGTTGCCATCCCCCTTCTCTCAGAATGACTAATAGCAATGCCGGCTGGAAGTTGTTATCCAACACATTTTGTGAGGGATAGATTAGAAATTTTGATATGTATCAGTGATGGCGAACCTTTTAGAGACCGAGTGCCCAAAACTGCAACCCAAAACCCACTTATGCATCGTCGGGTGCTGGGTGGGTGTGGCCAGTTGGGTGGGTGTGGCCCATTGGGTGGGCATGGCTGCGGTGGTAACAGCAGACTGGGTGGGACTAAAAAGTTCAATCAATCAATTCCAACTTTGCAAGATCTTTTTTTCCCCGCAAGAAGTTGAAATTGACTGATTGATTCAACCTTTTTTTTTTTTTGCACACGGCGGCAGAGGCCTAAAGTGAAAAGGTTTTATAAAACCCAGCTAAAGGCCTAGGACTGGGGCGATGGCGCGCGTGCCCACAGAGAGGGCTCTGAGTGCCACCTCTGGCACCTGTGCCATAGGTTCACCACCACTGATATATATTATGAACACATATGACATAGATAGACAACTCCTGACTGAATGTCTGCAGTGCAAAAGAATTTATAAAATAACCAATCTCTTTCTTTCTTTTTCTCATTGGGATTTGCAGGAGCTCTTCTAAGCTCAGAAATGTTTGTCATCCTTATGCTATACCTCTGGCTGGGAATTGGACTTGCCTGTGCTGGCTTCTGTTGTCACCAAATGCTGCTGATCTTGCGAGGGCAAACCCGGTACCAGATGCGGAAGGGGATGGCAGCCAGAGGCCAGCCCTGGAAGAAGAATCTGAAGGAGGTCTTTGGGAAGAGATGGCTGCTTGGACTGCTTATTCCTGTGCTCAGTGTGGGAAGTGACTATCACCAGCAAAAGGAGAAATGACACCTCCCTTAACACTTAGCAACATGCACAGGTGCTTGCACACATTGACGTGCATGTACACACATTTGCTGTAATGGAATGCAGTACTTGGATACACTTGTCTTTTCCCCACCTTGTAGCCTTGCAATGTATCAGAAAAAAGGCAACCAGTGAGGCAATGGGGCTAATTCTATGATTTAAAAGAAGCGGGACTGACCACTTCTAACAATATTAAGCAATCCCTCCCTTGAGAAGCCAGTTCTCTCCTCTACCTTCTCCCAGTGACTGAGTTCCCTTCCACCTTGACTTTTGTGCTTAACTGGGGAAGGAGGAGAATCCTCCGCCTTCAGCTTCTCCAAGGTAGCCTGTATTGTCACGAACAAGTTGTAAGCACAAGCATAGGTTCCTGGGAGATTTGCCCAATGTGTTAGCTGAAATTTTTGGCAGCTTAAAATAACCCCAATTGAGAAAGAATTGCTTCCCCCCCCCCCAAATACTGGGCAATATGGCTGATTAAACTCTTAAAAACAGAACTCACAAACACACACACGCACACACACACGCACACACACACACACGCACAAAGATAAACAATCTGGGAAAGCAAGTAGAATTTGCTTATGTTTTGAAGTGGAAAGCACTTATTTGTTCCCCTAACTACCTCTGCTCCAACATGCAGGAATGGCATTTCATAGCCTTATCATATGCCCTTCCAGAATAGGAGATACATTCCCACCCTTCCTTTCGAATCTCTGCAGAGTTAGGCTTGTTTTTCAACCTCTCTGTCTCCCAGCACGGCTTGAAATGAATCCAACTCCAAGTATCGCTAACAGTATTCTTTGGGAGAATGATGGCCAAATACAGAGGTCAGGTAGATGGGAATATGTAAGGTGAAGGAATGACTCTCTCCTGGTGCTTTCAACTCTGAAAAATTGCCATTGACCTCTAGCAAGCCAGGAGATCAGCAAGAGAAAGCAGGACCCATCATTCTGCATCTGTCACAGAAGACGTCAAGTGAAATACTCAACTGAATTATTGAGGCAAAAGCAGCAGCCCTCAGAGTAGCACTTTGCAATCAGTCAGGATATTATAATTAATAAGATGAAGACTTTGACTCATCCCTGGGAGATAAGAACATATTAGGAACAAGCCCTCCTCAGGCCCACCATCTCATTTTTACTCTGCATGTCCTCTTAAGCTAAGCTTTATTTCATAGTCTGTTCATACCCCAGTGATGGCTTTTTGGATGCATCCGCTCCTCTCTTCACTAACCAGCAGAAAGTGGCCAGAGGCAAATATTTCAGCTCTGAGAAGCCAGTTCCTGGGTTTAAACAAGAAATCCAATCAATCTGCCGATCTTTAGCTCATTACACACTCCCGTTGTTCTCTGTGCTAGGATTCTATAATGGAAAGTGCCTGATTTTTTTTTTTAAAGAAAAGCTATCTTCCCGTATTGTGAAACTTGCAGAAACTTAAAATCCATCACTATTTCAAAAGTCAGAACTTTTTTTTCAAAATCTTTTTAGTGTGTCTAAAAAGTGTGGGTGTGCGTGCAGAAAACACCGTGCATGTGCAGAGAACATAAAGCACGTACATCAAAATATAAACACGGATACACTCTCCCATTGATTACTTAACACAATATTTTGTGTTATTTTTAGGTTTGTGAACAAAAGTATTACAAAACATAATGATTGAACAAGTAACAAAACGTACAATACAGGCAGAATAGGAGGTGGGTTTAAATACAAACATATTTAAAAACTTGATAAAAAAGACTTTTATGATATCAAAAAGATGGGATGAGAATAGACCATGTCACCAAGAAAGAACACCAATAAGGAGACACTAATCTTTTTATCTTGTATAATGCAGATGCTTGGAGAATGGTATGTATGGACAGGTTGATTTGTTTCTGAATTAAGATTATTTTTTTTAGCTGCCCTTCTTATATAGGTCCTGGAGTTCTCTGCTGGGAATGCAAAATCCAAAATGTGCCCCAAAGTACTAAAATAAAAGTAAGGATTATATGAAAGTAAAAATCCTACTATGTCACAGAGGATCTGGATTCAAAATATTCCCAGATTCAATCCATTATTTTCCAACAAGCTGACTATTATACAAAGTTAATATTAATCAGCACAAGTAACCTTACTGTCTTCTTGGAGAAAGTCTGGGGAGGCAGAAGATGCTGGAGATCTTTTTTTTTTAATGGCATTTTTAATCCACGTGTATTTCTGGTGGTACCAATACATTCAGAGGAAACAAATAAGAGAACATAATCTGAAGAATTGCTTTGATTATAAGAAATCTTAGGAGAAAAAAAGTAGCTAGTAGCTAGGTAGATGATAGCACATTTAGAAAAAAGGCCTTCTAGTAAGACATGCACTTGCATGAAAATATGTTTAACTACCTACTTAATAATATGCTGCATTTGCACAACAATAAAGTGTTTGGGTTTTTTGTGCTTTGTATGTTGTCATCTTTAATGCCTCTTTTATAAAATGGGAATGAGGACAGGGAGTTTTGCAATTTTAAATGCAGTTGAAATGTGATGGCCGCTTACAAGGCAGTGGACCTTCTCAGTTATAGGCTCTGCATGTCTTTCTCTGCCCATTTAAGACATCCCCGTTCTTCCTAACATCAGCGTGATTTTTAGTGCCATTACTGGGATAGTGGATTTTATATTTTTTCCTGTGACATTCTATGGAACAAAAGTTGGAATTTGAAGAAGCAGGATAGGAAAAGTAGTGGTTCTTTTGAACTTTTGTGTTGGGGAAGACTCTTGAGAAAATCATGAACAGCTAAGTAAACAAAGCGATGGACTGTTGAACAAATCAATCCAGAGTTGTCTCTTGAGCATCAAATGACTAGGCTCAATTTTTTTCCTACTTCAGACACATTATTTGAAGATGTAGCTCTCTGGATAAGTATCTAATACTGGGAAAGGTGGAAGGAAAGAGAACAACTAACAGCAAGGTAGAGTCAGTTGCAGTGGTGATGAGTGCACCATTGGGAGACCTGAAAGATCACGTTAGGGACAAGTAAACATGGAGAAAATATACTGGTATGTGATTGCCAAAAATCAACAATGACTTGGTGGCATAGAATCATCATTTACTAATTGTTCCGTTATTCTTTTTTTAAATAAATGTTTCAATCTGTAATCCATCCAGTTATTATGGATGGATTAAAAAATACTAAAACATTTTGTTACCCTTGTTTGTTATTGCAAATATTTAGTGACAAACTATTAGTAACAATGACTGCTGAAAGGCACTTTCTTCAACTCTTTCCCACCCCCCTCATCTGTGCTATTTCAGTGGAGATATTAAATGAAATACTTCCCCAGGTCAGATCCAACCTATGCCACTCTTAGTATCTTTTTATTTCAGGAGGCATTTGGCTTGCAACGGTCAAAGATTTCTGTACATTCTGAAGTTTTAACTGCTGCTAAAAATGGAAAAAGTGGGTCCTTAGTATTGAAGGATCTTCTTCTATTCCAGGTTTTCAGGTGAAGTTGGATGACCATTTACGGGCACTGCTATACGCTGGTAGTATACTTGAACTATTAAATGTTTAAATCAGATCTGTTTTATATATTTATAAAAATGACTTTGTGATTGGATTCATACTTCACATAACAGCCTAAGTCACAGTTGGTTGAGTTTGCATGGGATACAAAGAAAGCCATAAACCATGTCTTATAAACTATAATGACTTATTCACACAGCACATCTAACTGTTATACATGTTGGCATAAAAAGTATCTAAATATAGATATTAATGGAATCTGAATTGGCAATAACTGATCAGAAAATGGACCTTGGAGTCATAATGGACACCTTGATAAAAATTATCCAGCTACTCTATCAATGGCAAATTGATTATTATTAGGAAGAAAACAATAGTAAGAAAGAAAGCAAGTGCTTTTATATAAAGCTATAAGACACATCTGGAGTGTTTTATACATAAGATTACTACTACTGCTATTACTACTATCACCACTACTACTACTAAAGTTCCGGTCACTGTTCCTTAAGAATTTCTAGAATTAGAAAGGTTGGGGAAAAGCAATCTATATGATTTAGACCTACAACAGTTCCCTTTTGAGAAACATATTATTGAAATGGATATAATTTGCTTGAATCAACAAAGAGAAGACAGAAAGGAAGAGGAGGAGGATGTATGATAGAATATATGAAATTATGATGGTATAGACAAGGTGGAAAGAGCTTCTCCCCCTCTTTCACAAGGTTAGAAGTTGAGGTCACCCCCTGAAAATAATAATAATAATAATACCTGTAATACCATCAAACATCCACATCTGCCTATCTCAGGTCCTGGGTAAGGACTCGATAGGTAGACAAAATGCCAAATCCAGTCTGAACATCTGGCTGACTGTGCGATGATCCATAATAATAAATTGAAAGGTCATCTAGTCCAACCCCCTGCTCAGGCAGGAAACCCTATGTCATTTCAGATAAATGGCTGTCCAATCTCTTTTTAAAAATTTCCAGTGTTGGCGCATTCACAGCTTCTGAAGGCAGGTTGTTCCACTGATTAATTGTTCTAACTGTGAGGAAATTTTTCCTTAGTTCTAGGTTGCTTCTCTCCTTGATTAGTTTCCATCCATCGCTTCTTGTCCTGCCTTCAGGCGCTTTGGAAAATAGCTTGACTCCCCCTTCTTTGTGGCAGCCCCTGAGATATTGGAACACTGTTATCATGTCCCCCCTCGTCCTTCTCTTCATTAAACTAGACATACCCAATTCCAGCAACTGTTCCTTATATGTTTTAGCCTCCAGTCCCCTAATCATCTTTGTTGCTCTTCTTTGTACTCTTTCTAGAGTCTCAACATCTTTTTTAGATCGTGGTGACCAAAACTGGATGCAGTATTCCAAGTGTGGCCTTACCAAGGCATTGTAAAGTGGTATTAACACTTCATGTGATCTTGATTCTATCCCTAGCACCGTGTTGGCTTTTTGGGCAGCTGCAGCACACTGCTGGCTCAGTGTTAGATGCAAGGAGACTCACTGTTTCACATGATATATAATCATGTCAAGAAATTGGCTGTCCACAGTAGTGGTAATGGCAGCCAATTTGTGTTCTGTTCCAGCCTATTGCCGTCCTTGTTAACTTCACAAGGACCAAACCCCTGCTGCTGCAATAGGCTGGAGACTTGCAAACAAAAACAAAAACCCCTTTTAATATTGTAGACAAACCTGTCAAATACAGCAAACTTAAGTCCAAAAGAGCATGATGAAAAACAAACAAGAAATCACAAAAGAAGTCACAGATCAAGATTCCAAGATGCGGTTTTCAAATGGTTGCCTTCAGCAATCAGCACCACCCACACCTCCTCCCTTTAATTAGCAGTCCTAAGGCGGTGCCTCCCCTTGCCGTTTCTTCTTACTTTGGAGGTGCTTCATTGACCTCTGTTGCCTTACTCTGGCTAATTGACACCGCCTGCGTCAATTAACAAGTCCATCTGTTGTGATTCTTCCAAGTCTGATTCGTGCTCCTCACCCAGCTGAGCTTCATCAGAAACACGACTGGAGGGCCCAGGCTCTGCATCCAACTGTGAGTCCTGTACTTCAGAGTCTCCCTCTGGCTCTAATGGCCCCCCAAATGCCTCCTCCACCTCCTCCTCAGATTCCTCCAACTCAGCTGTTGGGAGCACAGGCTGGCACGGAATCACAACAATTTGGAGGATTTTCAAAGGGACTGAAAAGTTTGGACACTTAATTTCAGGGTAACATGATCAATTACTGAAGAATTCTCAGAGTTTGTTGACAGAAAACTGTTTCATAAAGGGAATCATTTAAAGTTATTTTGGAAAGGATTGCCTTAGATATTTCCAAACATTGCTATGTGTCAGTCAGTATGGTAATGAATTTTAGTATAAAAGATCGAAGTATTTCCTGCATGATACAGGTAGCCTTTGAGTTACGACAGCAACTGGGACCCAGATTGCCATTGCTAAGTGACATGGTGATAAAAAGGGAAGTCACACGACTGCATCACTTAGTTGTAATCCCAAGATACAGATTCTTAAGTGGAAAATGAAGGGAGTTGGAAGGGGGCACAGGAGGCCATGGGAGGTCCAGCAAATTGTGGGGTACACTGCAGTGTAGAGTGAACTCAGAGACGTAGGGAATGCCTATGTGGAGTGGCCCCGGAAGAAAGGAACTGGTGGGGGCATGCATGTTGTGTGAGCATAGGGAAGCTCAGGAAAGGAAGGTGCTGGAAAGGAAGGTGGGTGCATGTGTGCAAACACAGGAAGGCTGAGGAAGGAGGGCACGGGGGTTGGGGATGTGTGTGTGCAAGCAAACCAAGGGGGAAGAAAGATGTGGTACATGCAAGAGAAGAAACCCAGGTGGAGGGAGCTTTACCGGAATGAATTGTCATCTTCCTTGCCGGCTTCCGCATTGACTTTGCTTGCTTGAAGTCAGTACAGAAGGTCAGCAACAGCAATCACATGATCATAGGATGCTGCAAGCAGTTGTAAGTGCCAGCCAGTTGCCAAGTGCTCAAATTCTGTTCATGTGATAACAAAGGACCTGCAGCTGGAAGTGTGAGGTCTGGTTCTAAGTCCCTTCATTCAGCGCCATCCTAATTTCGAACAGTCCCCCAACAAATGATCATAACTCAAGGACTATTTGTAATTCCACACTTCTATATTAGAACTCATTGTGCAATGTGGGACCACTGAATTTTTCCCATCCTTAAAAATAGTGTTCTGTTCCAAGAAGGTAATTTCCACATACATATCTCAATATACTAGCATGTTACAAATGCGCCCCCGTGTGTTGAAGCTGAGCTGCACTGACGCAGTTCTGCATTTGGAATGGATTCTGAAGCAGTTCCTTTCAGTCAGACCTCCATTTCAATCTATCAAGACACGTTTATGAGAACAGAATGATAAAGGAAACAATTTTGCAGAAATATATCCTTGTCAAAATGGATTATATAATACATTCACCTTTCTGCACAGAACATAATATATTGAAGATGGAAGGCCACAATCAAATGCCCCGAGCATTTCAAGATGTAATAAATGACATTTGGGGGGGGGGAGGTCAGACAGCCACTATCATGTACTTATTAAGATGTTGGCTAGGAGCATGAAAACCCAGCTTCTGGTTTTCCCTTAGGCAGGGAAACCAGCTAGGTGACCTTGGGCTATTCCCTTTCAGCTCAAATTACCATCAGGTTCTGTCACAAGAATAAAACTCTTCATCACATCATGAACTTATAGTTTTGCTGTAATAGAGAGTACAGTGTGGAATAAGGAAATTCTGCAACTACTGGGACAAATACAAGGTACAACATTGTGAAGGAGAGATCACTTTGGGGAAAATCAACATGCTCCCCTTTAGATGTTTTAGACTTCAGTTCCCAGTAACTCCAGTCATCTTAGTCAGCTGAATTGTGGGAAATGCATCAAAAACATCTGCTAATAGTCAGAAGTTAAGGCTTAACCAAAATAGTCAGATGTGATTCTCCCTGAAATTAGTGTAACATGTCAGTCATATCTACTGTATCTTAGGCTCTGATGCAATGGGACTGCAG